ACAGCCGAGATGGGGGTACCCAGCCCGGTACCCCAGGTGGGGCAGGGAGCTGGGGGAGGGGCATGCCAGGCTGCCTGCCTGGGGGGTTGTGTACCCCAGAGGGGACGAGCCCTGTTCCCCAGTGTGCCGTGGCTAATGTGTGTGACTAACCAGGGTGGGGGTTTTGGGGTCACTGCTCACACCCCTCCACCACTGCTCCGGCCCCACAGAATAACTTTGAGGAGCCCATTGCTCTGCAAGAGATGGACACAAGCAACGGGGTCCTGCTGCCCTTCTATGATGCTGATTCCAGCATTGTCTACCTCTGCGGGAAGGTAACCCCTCCCTCCCTGGGGTGCATCCCCTGTCACCCTGTCCCTGAGGGTGCCAGGGCTGGCTGACACCTGTCCCCCACCCCTGCAGGGTGACAGCAGCATCCGCTATTTCGAGATCACGGATGAGGCACCCTATGTGCACTACCTGAACACCTACAGCAGCAAGGAGCCCCAGCGGGGCATGGGCTTCATGCCCAAGCGTGGGCTGGATGTCAGCAAGTGTGAGATCGCCAGGTGAGAGCCAAGGGGGCTGGGGGGAGCCCCAGGGGTCAGGGGGGCCAGCTGGGCCCTGACTGCCTGCGCCCCACGCAGATTCTTCAAGCTGCACGAGCGCAAGTGTGAGCCCATCGTCATGACGGTGCCACGCAAGGTGAGCCTGGGGGGATCCCAGGGGAGGTGGGGGCCTGGGGGGAGACACCCCACATCTCACCATGGCCTCTCTCCCTCCCGCAGTCAGACCTCTTCCAGGATGACCTGTACCCCGACACGCCAGGCCCCGAGCCAGCCCTGGAGGCAGATGAGTGGCTGTCAGGGAAGGACGCAGAGCCCATCCTCATCTCGCTGCGGGATGGGTATGTCCCCATCAAGAACCGGGAGCTGAAGGTGGTCAAGAAGAACATCCTGGACAGCAAACCCCCGCCAGGCCCCCGACGAAGCCACTCCACTTGCGACTCTGACTTCTCTGTGAGTGTCCGGGGGACAGGGAGGAGGCGGCAGGGCTGTCCCCCTGCTCTGGGGTGGGGTGGGCCAGACTCATCGGTGACCCTGTGTCCCCATTCCCTGCAGCAGCCAGCCTTGGAGGAGGTGCTGGAGGAGATCCGTGCCCTCAAGGAGACGGTCCAAGCGCAGGAGAAGCGCATCTCCGACCTGGAGAACAAACTCTGCCAGTTCACCAACGGCACGGACTAGCTCGGTG